GCCAGCTCTCCCTGCTGTCGCTCAGAGCAGGATAAAATGTCCCCTGGAAACAGTGCCTCCTGAGATGCTGGAGGGCTGCTCCCAACACAGATTAGCCCTATGGAGCAGTCTGATGCGACTGCAACATGAGCTTCCTAATACCAGTTGAAGATAATCCTTACCTGAAGAGAATTCTCTCTCAGACAAGCAGAAGGTAGTTAGTTTATCTTTTTCTACCTCAGAGTGTTTAAAAGTCCTTAACACATATGAAAGGTAACATGTAGCAACATCCTTACAGTGATTTTTCTAACTTGCATCCCTGCAGGAGCACACAGACATTATAATTACTTTGTAATAGCTGATAGTCTTTCCTGGGTGTCAGCTCTCCTTTCCTCTTTACAGTGGCTTAAATTTATGTTTCTCCGTATCTTTTGTGGTTGGTAGCAACTCTCTCAAGATCATACCTGATGGTACTGAATCTCCGGCTGTCTTTAACCACTGTTCCAATTTTGACATTTACAGTTTTCAGTGCCAAGAGTTACTTCAGTGGCTTGAATTTCTTGTCAGCAGACTTATCTCATTTAGCCTTCATAAAGCTACTGCCCTACAGTGTCATCTAATGGTATGTACAGAAATGCTCCATGCACATTTTACAGCACTATAGTTTAGAGCACTTTTTATAACACTAAAGTTACAGCACTCTTAAACATGACAGAAGTGCAGAGTACAGAAGTTATTCGAAGCACTATAGGTTACTAAAGTGCTGTAAAATACAGCGCTTCAGATTTAATACCTCGTTTAATAAGGGTTAATTTAAAGCTCTGTACCCATTTTTAGAGCGCTGTAAAACCATGCACTTGTGTTAAGTCATGGCAGTAAAGTGCTTTAAATGACCAGAAAAGCAACTTCTGTACACACCTTAAGGCACTATTGACTGGCAACAGAAAAGAACTCATTCCCTGTACATCTACTACCCTACCAGGAAGAGTTTTTCCTGTTCCTAGAGGAACATTCTCATACCTCACCCGAATCAGAGGACAAGAGAAAGTCTTCCTCTGTGTGGCCTGTTGCTTCCTGTTACAGGTCGCCCCCCCCAGCACCATCTTCCCTGTTAATCTGCACCTTACGTGGGGCGCCCTTGGAGTCTGCTTTGGAGCTCTTATGTCCCACCCTCTACTCTCCTGCCACGTCTTGATGGAAATTATTGTTGATGTTCTTGCAAGCGGGAGACTGCCTATTGTATTTTGTATGTTGGGATCTTTCGCCTACACGGGCCTGACCCTTGTATTTCTCTAGCTAGGCCTCCCCGTACAAAACCCACCAAACAGGGTTTGACTCCGAGACTCTAGCCTTTTCCGGTGTCAGGCCTTGTTACAATTTGGCCCCCTAGTCCTCGGGCTCTCCGCAGCCCTGTCTCGCACTGCGCCTTCACTGGTACTCGGGCTCTCCGCAGCCCTGTCTCACACTGCCTCACTAGCGCTCGGGCTCTCCGCGGCCCTGTCTTGCACTGTGCCTCACTGGCACTTAGGCTCTCTGCAGCCCTGTCTCATACTGCGCCTTCACTGATGCTCGGGTTGTCTGCAGCCCTGTCTCACACGGTGCCTCCCTGGCGCTTGGGCTCTCTGCGGCCCTGTCTCGCTCTGCGCCTCACTAGCGTTTGGGCTCTCCACAGCCCTGTCTCCCTCTGCGCCCTCTCTGGCACTCGGGCTCTCTGCGGCCCTGTCTCGCTCTGCGCCTCACTAGCGTTTGGGCTCTCCACAGCCCTGTCTCCCTCTGCGCCCTCTCTGGCGCTCGGGCTCTCTGTGGCCCTGTCTTGCTCTGTGCCCTTTCTGGCACACAGGCTCTCTGCAGCCCTGTCTCGCTCTGTGCCCTCTCTGGCGCTCGGGCTCTCTGCCGCCCTGTCTCCCTCTGTGCCCTCTCTGGCGCTGGGGCTCTCCACAGCCCTGTCTCGCTCTGTGCCCTCTCTGGCGCTCGGGCTCTCTGCAGCCCTGTCTC